GAATATTTCAATACTTTTGTTATTATATAATCAGTTACTATTTCAGTAATTAGTAATTAAGTGTTTTTGTGTAACATTGTTACTATTACATGTCTAATTGTTTGTATGGCCCAAAATCCAAATCAAATATTAGGTGTTATTATTATTATTATTATTATTTATTTTGATACATTTAAGCGATTTATCTAGCTACAAGTAAAACTTAAACGAACCAAATCTTAAAAAATAAATTAGTAGAAATATTTACAGTTTTCTTCCGAAGAACAGAGATAAGATGTAGACAATAAATTGTATAACAATGCACGAATCTTTTCCCATTAAAGACACCTGTAATGTGAAAAATCGTTCGATACATTTATTGTATTATTTATTATTTTTTTTTTTTATTGAACATAAAAACATCAGCTACTAGGCCATTGGTTATTAATATACATTTGTTTTATATATGGCTTACTTTTTTAATTTAACCTTAAATTATGTTATATAATTTGATTTCCTTTAAACAATTATGATGATGTTTTTATTTGATTGGTGAACATGTTGTAAGGCTTCACTTAATTGATACGGTACCTATGTAGTGTTTGATTCTTAAGAGTCTACATATTCAAAACATTCAGTTAGTATGTGTTTGACAGTGAACTCCACAACACATGATTCACATATTCAGGTTTTTTCCGTATTGTACTATTAATTAAAATATTATACATATACATAATTATTACACTTTTGAATATCGGTTTAAATCTATTATCATTGTATTAGTTATAAAATTATTGCAACACCATAAAAATATGTATCTTTAGATAATATATTGAACATCGTGAAATAGTAGATAAATTTTTTTTTCGAAAATGTGTATTTTTTTGGAACTATTTCAATTCAAATTTTAATTGTTTTTGAATTTTGAGGTGGGGTGATTCCCGAACGAATTTCAAAACTTATCTAGAAAGTTTAAGTCATCGTTGAGTAACAATTTTGCACAGAAAGAAAATTTCAAAAATGTCAGTTTTAACTAGTATTGTGATAGAAAGTTGATTTAGAGCGACGATTGTGTTACTTATAACTTATGAGCTTATTTCTACTAATTTAACTGGGTTTAACATATCGTTTAAATGGCGTGCTATAACACAATAAAACACAGATGATGTGAGTTAGAATAAGATAAATTATTTTAATTTCGTATATTGAGTGCAACCTACAATTTATAGTGGCTGCCTTTAAACGGAAATGCATATAGGCAACTTAATCATCAGATAAATTGAAATTTGCACAACTGTTTTATTTCTTTGGAAATGATGTGTGCAACGGATAAAGGATTGTTGAAAAGTTTTTTGGGTTCTATCGTTCATTTACGAAATAATGGTTTTTAGTAGGCATAAAATAAATGTTTCTTATGATATTAACAAGATTGATGTTTTATTTTTAGTTGTAGCGTTACTCAGGGGATAACATTTTTATACAACATATTTTTTTCAAAAATGAACTACCTAACTGATTATATATTTTCATAATTCTATTTTCATCAATTAAATACATCAAATAAAAAATTCTGGCAACGTGTTTGGCATGATTAATGTGGTTTCTCCTTTGAATAGTTTATTTGTTAAACAGAATATTTATTGTAAAAGTTTAAAACCAATACCATTTTAATAATAATCTATGTACTATTGTTATTAAATGCAGTGTTATTTATACTGAGTACATAATTAAAATGTTAAATATTATTCTGAGTCTATCATTATAGTTTAGTGCAAGATCAAAGTCTAAAAATACTCGAATAGTCCTATCACAGGTAGTACAAAATGCTTCCATTCTGTTATTGTTTGAAACTATAGTAATTGAATAAAAACGTGCTCATACTAGTCATAGGTACTAGGTTCATTATATTATTATATTACTAATAAAAAATCAAACACAGTAAGTAGTAAGTACTGTATAAAGAGTTCATTTTTTCTAGAATAATCAGTTTAGCGTGAAACACACAACTTTGAAACAAAATGTACTTTTATAACATCGGAGCATAGCTCATAATTGTGTTTCCTATTATATTTATTGATTTAAGCCTTAAGGATACAACGATAATATAACAATATGCTCTGTGCCTAAGTGATTGAAACAAAAAAATAGTTACCGACCATGGATGTCCAAGATAATATCATGTCAGATACTCGGATAATAATATATTTCGCGATATTACGTTGACAATTTACTGTGACTCGGCGCATTATATAGGCAATATAGGCACATTTCCGTTACAGAACAATTTAGAGAACAATTAAGAGAATTTTCTTATAATATTACAGTATTTAATATTTATTAAACCCCTGAGTAATTTTTGGAATTCTATGTCCCTCATTACCTACATCATCCCACAATAATACAATACTAAATTTACATATATATATATATTATATATTAATGAATAATGACTAGTGTTGAATAATATTAAAAGTAGAAAAAAAAATGTTAAAGTAATTACATCACAAATATTTCAACTGCAAAGAATTCATTATTTATGATATTATTATATCATGCAAGTGGTTTATTGTAATTTATCAATTTATAAATAGGTACATTGTTTTAATGAGATACAAAATATAAATTTAAGTTATCAAACATTTTTTAAGCAAAATCTAGTTTTTGATAGAATCTTTTACAATATCAATACATCCATCATTCACTGATATAAGCGTATAGCCATTTCCTCAGTAAATAAATATAAAAATATGTAATAATGTTACTTAAAAACTACATAAGAGTTATTGGCTCATTCTCAAGCGACAAGCACGACCACTTTTTCAGTCTATAGCTTACAAGCATAAATAAAATAAATATTGTAAGTTATTTAAAAACTGTGGAAATTATTTGAACTTTAATCTTCCAAAAATGATCAAATCACATATACTAAAATCAAAACACCAACATACCCAGATAGAGGCAATTAGCCTAACTTAAAAACTTCAAAGAATAGTTTTTAAAAGTCTTTGATTAAGTACCTATTAATTATAATGTAAAATAAAAATATAAATCTCATTATAACAAATATTCCCCAATATATTATTTAATAATGAAAAAATGTATTATAATACCCTCAGTAGGTTCACCCCTCCCACAAGGATATGCCAATTCATTATTATTGTATACTATTACAAACACTTATATTTTATTATAGTTAGGTTAGGGTTTACCGTAGTTTTAATATCATGTTCAATATATTACAATAGGTACCTAATAACTTATTAGTAATAAGCATAATAAAAATTCTCTTAGTGATCAGAACACAATCAAACTTAAAAATTCAAACATTTATTACATAAATTGAGTTAACAAACAAATTTTGTTTACGAGAATAACAAAAATCAAGGAGCACAATGGATGTCTGTATAATATGTTATACGATACCACTTGCAGACATGAAGTATTGTTAATTGCGGAGTAGAGTAATGAATATAATAACAGAAACAAAATCAATTTATGAATTTTGTTTGGAACAACAAACCCCACAGCAAAAATAAAAATACTAAGCAAAAAATTTCTAAGTGTAATATCTTATAAAGGTAGCATAATACTTGTAGTTTACTGGAATAAACAACTTTACTTAATTTAGTATAAATTAAATATATAACACACACATGGTTGTCTACAGCTCTTGTTACAACCTGTTACATTATAATTATTAGGTTATGTTATCATATACATTATCATATGACGTTATCACACCAAGGGAATTAGTTTTCAAGAATTTAACTTTTTTTTTTTCGCACAATCGCAGGATATTATGTTTAGTTTAGACTGGTAATAAAAAAGTAAACAATGTTTTCGGTTTAATGATTTTCTTTAATTTTAAATTCAAAAGAGAAAATAATAATCATAATCATACATTATACGATAAAATGACAATACTTAAAACAATGAATTTAAACAAAAATATAACATATTATGTAATATATAATATTATTTGTTTAAAAAATCTTATTTTGACTAGCTTTACACAAATTTTAATAAGAACAAATTTGTATTCAATTATTATTTAATACAAAACGTATAAAAGTTAACTTAAATTGACTTATATATTTATACAATATACAAAAAAAAAAAACAAAGTCTATGTATTATCTTAATAATACATATTTTATCTAAATTTAATTTTGAATTTTGCTAGATTCAATGTACATATACAAAAAAAAAAAATAAAACAAAAACGTCTGTATAAATAAATTGGTTGCTTTGTTCAAGATAAATCAATGTATTTTTTTTTCAAATAACAAACGTTAGAGTTTTAAGTTTTGAGCAATTTATCACATTTTCTCACATAATAATCATTATTCATTTGGAATTATAAATTATTACACACAAACACACACATTTATATATATATATATATGTATAAAATATATATATTATATATTATATATTATCATAAAGAGTAGTTAACTAAATTAAAAAAATTATATAAGAAAAAAAACATACACATGTGCAGATAGTTTTCAAAAATCAGTTCATATTATAAACACAATGCTGACAATATATCATAAATCATAATTTGTTTTGGAATAAGTTAAAAAAAAAAAATAATAATAATAATAATAATCATAAACGCGTTTATATAGAGCAGACGGTGCTTGGGAAGAGACTACTAAAATGGTTTAGAGGAAATAGACGAAGAATCGAATATATATCTATAATATCATAAAAACGTATTTCATTCAATATGTTATTAGTACCTACCATATAATATTTTAATAGTTAACGAGCAGGCTAAAACGCGTATAATTATCAAGTTTCGAGCACGACAGGGGATGAGAGTCTAAACGAATTCGGCGTTCACCACCGCCCGTCGAAGAAGGGCAATAGAAAGACAGCGGCGGCGGCCAAATAGACAATAACAACAATAATATTAGTTAAATAATAAGAAAAATAACCGTGTGATAATAATAATAATAATAACAATAAGGTCGTTGCTGCGGACTAGATGCGGCGGAGGGTCGGGCGGCGGGCTGTCAGAACAGGTCCGACGACGACAGTGGCGACGACGTCGACGACTTGTCCAGCACCGTTCGGGCGGCGGGTCCGGCGCGATGCACCTGCAGTTTGCGTATCCGTGACTGCACCGTTTCGCACTTGAGCTCGCTGCACCGGGCGTATCGGCCGCTGCCGCCGTTGGCCTTGATCTCGCGTATCACCACCACGTTGCCGTTGCGCTCGCGCATCAGTTCCAGGCCCACGCACCGGTTGTCCCGCGGTCCGGCCGCGTTCGTCACACCGCCACCGGTCTTGTCGTCGAACACCCGGAGTCGGGCGGCCGGCCGGCAGTCACCGCACCCGTTGGCGAATTGCGACATGGCTCGGGCCACAGCACCGCTGCACTCCTTCGGCCATTTCCTACGATCTCCGCCGGAAGTGTCCCAGACGTTGAAACACGACGCGGACATTTTTCCCAGCCTCCGGGTTTGCTGCAACAGGTCGGCGGACGACGAACGACACCACGACGACGACGAAGAGGAGGAGGACGAGGATGATGAGGATGACGGATGGTCCAGCGAGTCTTCCAGCGATATGATGCTGGACCGGTCGCTGCTCGAATCGATTGAGAACTCGCTGACGGTGTCGCTGCTGCAGTCGCTCACCGACGAGGTGTCAGCGCTGCTGCTATTCGGCGTCGACGACGTTGACGGTGCCCGGGGCCGGTGGTGGTATTCCGGGTGGTGAAGTAGCTGAGATGACGGTGAAGGTGGCGGAGATGGTTCGTCCACCACGTAAACCCTGCGGAACGTAAACGGCACCATGTCACGGCCATCGACACGCGCCAGTCCTCCGACGGGCATGGTCTGCGTGCCGTTGGCCCGGCTCAGAGTCCGGCACGATGTGGTGTTGACGGTGGTGGTGGTAGGCGGAGGCGACGGATTTGATCCACTGACCATAAATTCGCAGCTGTCGGCCAGTTCACGGTCCAACCGCCTGACCAGTGACTCCATGTTGTCCTTGAAAGACTTGCGCCGAGACGCACTCATCGCCGGCACGGGCGAGTTGTCACAGCTCTTGGCCAGGGCGGCAAACTTTTTCTGTTGTTGTTGGTGATGTGGTTGTTGTTGTTGTTGTTGGTGGTGGTGCTTGACGGCGGTCGTCACGGGGGTGGTGGTAGTGGCAGTGACGCGGTCCACGACGTCTGACAGAGCGTTGGTCACTATTGCGCAGATAGACGAATCGGACGCGTTGCTGCTGCTGCTTCCGCCGCCGTCCTGTCCACTGAGTATCCTCGAAGGCGTCGTACACGTCAGCGTCGTCATCGTTAGCGTTCTGTGAAACCAACCGTGTTCCAAGCAGTCCTTGGCAGTGAGGCGATCCCTGTAAATCATCATCATATCATATTAGGAGATGTATCGGATTTTCATTATTATGGCCTAAGAATTTATGTGGGTTGAAAATTAGTATCACCGTTTTCTCGAAATGTTACCCCCTTTACTGTGCAGACGTACGCGGACAGGTTTAGATACTATATAGGGATCATACGCACACTAATTGAAAATGTGACAGCACCCAATAATGTCAGAAATATTCAAGTAGAATAAAATATGACCAACTATGCAGTTCAAGGACGAACATAATATAATTTAGGGATTATTTTAAAGCTAAGAGTTGTGTGGTACCTTCATATATAGGTACAATATAACAGAATCGATTCAAATTAGCGACAAATATTAAATTGAATATTTCAACGATATTCCACGATTTAATTTGTAGAACAGAGTAATAACGGATTTGAAATATTAATTTACTATCGTGAAAAAACTTCTGTGAGTCAAGAACATAATATTATATACATCGAATAATTTAAAATAAGAACGATAATTGGACCATAGGAATATATATATTATTAAAGCCAATTTATCAAAGCCAATTTTGACAATTCCTCATAAAAACAAAAGTAATAACTCGTATATGTCATGTCAAGACAATTCTAGGTATTAGGAGAAAATCCTATCGGAACAAATCGATGACTCTGTTCCGTAACGTATTATTTTATTTCCATTAGACGCGTTTTTAATTGGTCAATTATCTATATTATTGCTTTTCTGTTGCAATTGGGTTAAAACGTCTTTTCCACGGAATATTAGATAATATTAGATTCTATATACAGAACAGGTGGGTACATACCTACTCAAAATCGTATTTAAAAACGAAAAATAATATACCCAATCAAATCATCGCACTTATTGATAGTTACATAACCCCTCGGAGTAAACTATAATAATATTATGTATATTATATGTATAATATATAATATAACCGAACATACGTGAACGGATACTAATAATTAGTAATTACGTGTATCTCTCTACTTCAAATATTGTAACTGGTCGTATCACGTATATCATCGAAAAAAACAACGGATGCGTATATAATATTTATTATATTATATGTGTTACGGAAGAGTTCACCGCAGGTTAATATATAATATTATGGGCGTGTTATATACCTATCGGAGACGACCAAAATGTTTTTTCTCCTCAAATCGACAATATTATTATTGTCGAGGTATACACCATATGTTATTATCTATTTTTTTTCTACTTTCTAGGCGCATCGCGCTGATTGACAATTATATTGATCACAACAACGTATTTTATACTACTTATATTATGCACCCCGGAAAACTCACCTGGGGTTTTTCACCATCAGCTTCTTCATGAGATCAATAGCATCCTCAGATATATCCTGAAATAGATCTTCAGGAAAATCGAGTTTGCATTGTGATATATTGCAGAACGTTTCCTGTTTGGTGTCGCCGCCAAACGGCGAGCATCCGGTCAACAGTACGTACAATAGGACTCCAATGGACCTGCGACGAATATCGATACATTATAGTGGATGATCGGTGAATATAAAGCTTACATAATAATAACGCATAATGGCTTCAAAACTTCATGATATCGTGATGAATGGCATCGCACGTGTTACTTACCACATATCGGTTTGCACGTCGATCGGTTCGTAGTTTAGCACTTCGGGGGCCACGTAGTCGGGTGTGCCAAGTATTTCTCGCACGTCAGCCCCTTCGCTGAGGTACCTGGATATGCCAAAGTCGCATAGTTTAACATCACAGTTTGGGAAGTCGGCAGTCAGTACAAGGTTTTGTGGCTGCAATACACAATTAACGGTCAAGATTATTATATTGCAATTTAGTATTTAATATAGCAATTGATAGTGGTACAATTACAGTTGTAAAATAATATTAAACAAAAAAATCATCTGAGCGAGAGCGAGGTGTACTTAAAATGAAAATTAGAAAAACGTAAGCGTTGGTCGAATCAGTTGATAAATACAATTTCGAACCTTTGTTTTACAAATTGACCTAAACTTTTTTGAAAATTTAATCACGGATAAACATTAAATCATATTTCAAATTATTGCAAAATGTATAATAATTTAATGCATCACTACAACAAGGACATAAAGCCGTCTGCGGATGTTTTAATGGTAAGCAGTAGGCTAGCAATTGTTTTATAATTTTATACAGGAAGTTTCAGATTTGAGAAAGCGCATTTATTTCACCGTATCACAAACCTAAAAATACGTTATATTTGTCAATTTTCTTTTGTACTAATTCCTAGAGCGGACGACCCGCACAAATTTTCGTCAGCTGCCTCATCGATTGCGCAACATTATACAAACACATATATGTATGTACAAGTATTGGTTTTTTCTGCACATTCTATCCCAAGAAGTGATTAAATTGTTTACTGCACACACTGTATACTATTTAGGAGCATTATTGAAAACACCATATTTTACAAACGATAGCAGAAAACACGTTGTGCAAGACCGATGGGCGATGACGATTAAAATATAAATTATATAATCCTCGTGTGTGTGCAATTTCTACGTTGCGAATCGTTAAACAATCGAAATTGATGTGCATGATCGCCACGTTTAAAATAGACTCGTTTGATAATATAGAAAAGAGGCAAAATTTATCGGGTGCGGGGAAAAAAAATGAACCGTCGACAAGTTAATCGGCTGAAGACGAACTCTGTCCGATTTGTCTTGTCGCGATTCCTACTACAGCCTTACGGGTCAAGCGTTAGCGACGGTCGTCGTTTTCGTTAATGCTTTACTATATTATTGTTATTATATTTTAGAGGTGGCGTGGTTATATTGATTTTCGTAAAATATAATATGATATATTATTATGTTTTGTACTCGACACACGCCGCAAGAAACAAATCGGACGAGTTTTTACCAATTTATTTCCGAACCAATTTACTGTATGCGGTACTATGATATTGTAGATGACCGTAAAGTACCTTCATTTTCGTTTCTTGCGTGAGCCTGGTAAGTATGTATATCGCGTTTTGAAACGCATTATGCACAGACGCACAGAGTCATCTACCGACGCCATCTTTACTTGCGTGTACGTTGTACCTACCCGACCGAACGAGGAAATCGAAGACGAGAGCTCACCGTAACTATATTTAACACTGAGCAGTTTGCGGATGGTGGAAGACTGCGATTATCAATATAATTATGGCATTACATACCCAACAGTTGTTATCTGCATAGACCATAGGGTCACACTGGTCAGTTTTTTGATCGCACAAGAGTACGACATGTTTTTTTTGTAAACGATTGCGAACGATCGAAGACCAAAGGCGGTTTTTGAAGACAGTTATAAGAACGATACAAAGATATGGAGCGAGCGTCCACATATTTGTTAAAATAATATTATTATATCGCTGTGGTATAACAATATTATTATTTAACTGCAGACGTTCCGGACGAAAATAATAATAGACATAATATTATATTACAGAGCTACGTAGTACATAATATTAAACACGAGACTACATAACAGCTAATCTGATCGTCAATAATTAAAAACTGATAATAATAATCGAAATGTTGTCATTGTCCATTGTTATAAAATGTTATAAAGCTATTGTCCATAGCCTGCAAGTGGCAAATCTTGTCATATTATTATATAGTAGTAGGTATCATATTGGTCGATTCTTTTAACAGTGAATCAATAACTCGAAAAGTATTTAAGTTTTTCAAAATATATTTTTTTACATTGTTTAAAATCTTTACAGAATAACATTATAACATTTTTTAACACTGTATACTATAAGTTGACAAATTCCGATTCAAGGACGTCAAATCCTATACAATCATAAAATCTGTCTAAAACTTTATAAAAAATAATGTGCGATAATTGAATGGTATTTTCCTGAAATATGCTAGTTAATACTTTAAATAGAAGACTGTCGGTAACGATAAATAAATTCGTCCATAAAATCATAAAGGTCTTCCAATAATATTAACCATAACCAAACACGGTTGCTTACGCCTTACACTCAAACTCGCAAAAACCGAACAAACGCATATTTTAAAGCTATGTCCGATAAGTATTATACGCGAGCTGCGATTTAAACATGTTGAAACCCGAAACGTCAAGAGTTCCACATGTTGTGATATCTGAATGTACTCGAATACTTACATATTTTTAGAAACGGTCCGACATCTAGGAAAGTTTACATATAAGGTGGAGACGCCGTTATACCGACTATATAATATTATATTGCTGTATTGTAGTGACACTACTGTCACTACTGTTTTCTAGCAATCCAGTCCGAATTCCAGACACACTGTGCAAACCTGTCGTCGGCGCTCGAGTTTTTGTTTTAATTGCTTTCTCGGACGAAAAAACCCATCGGAGCGTGAATATTAAAACATGAGAACCAGGATGCGTCATTAATGGGCAGTACTTCCATCGTCACACATATATATATATTCGAACCCCGACAACAATGCTTATATACCAATCGGTTGCCCGCACATTAAATTATTATATTAACATAGCTGCATCGCAGGACTGAGCTCATATCCTGCCACAGTTCTCACCGGTAACGCCAGGTATATAAAATGTATAAAATAGGGAAGGAACAGGAGAATACGCTGCGACTGATTTTTTCTACCAAAATACGTCCTTGTACGCGTATAATATAGTAATACACTGTATACAAAGCACAGAAGACCGGAATTATTTAATGAATTGAGATTTAATTTGTTCAGTACCTAAAATATTAACTCGTCGACCGTCCCGAATAAATGATAATCACCATTCACTAGTCTAATTTGAATCGGATAAAAACCTATACATCTTTTATAACACACAATCACATCCATTGTGCGCAAACGCGAACAATTTACTATCATTGGCGAAGAAACGGCGAAAGATTTTTTAAGGATATTCGCGACTGTATAATGATAGTCATAGTATTTACTTTATACAAGTTATAATGATGGTGTACGAGGAAAATTAATTTATGGTGTCGCAGATCTCTCGCGTGCGGTTAATTAACAAAACAAATAACGGACAACTAACGCGACTTGACAACTAAAATGTCGACCTAACCAACTGCACTATGGACGTTAATCTACGAGTTACTTTTCTTGTATATGGTGGGAGGAGGATATAACTATAAATGCGTGTGATAATTTAAAAGAAAATAACTGAAAAATGTGTACATTATTATTGTACTAATAGCTATATTAACGTGGGTATATAAAATATTAATTAATACGGTATTCGACAGATTACAAAAACCTTTCAAAGTCTTATTTAGTACCTATTTATTATTAATTCATTATTAATCGTGGAATAGGAGATAATAGAAGTTTAAAAGTTTTTGTCTGTAAGACACGCCAATTAGAGCATAATGGTCTTGGGAACATAAACGTCCGTAATTAACGACTATTAAAATTATGGGTTTTCTTTCGATACACATTTCCCAGGAAATACTAATTGATTTGTAGTGTTCATTTAAAAGCAATGAAACGAATAGTTTCCCATAAGAATCATAGGTACACACGATAATATAATAATTATATAAAACAAAAAGCAAAGCCGCGTAAAATATAATAACAATTAAAAGTCCTATACACACATTCATCGCATTTTTTCTCGATACTTATAAAATATATAAAATGCAGTTAATATAACATTTATTCAATATTACACTGCAAGCTGCAGTTATTTGTGAGATAATTCGACTTGTTCAAATAACGACAAGTTTTTCACCCGTTTCCGGTATTATTAATATTTCCAGTCAAAAATCGAGTTATACTACGTAAATACATATTATTTAAAACACCGCATTGTCTCTTGCTGCAAGGTTGCACACACACACACACACAATACGCATTTCAACAACCTCATTCATCACAACACACTGCACCAGTCCCACACTTATATTGTAATAAGAATATTACACTAATGCAGACAAAAGAGAGTGGGGCGAGGAATAATATTATTTATCAGCTGAAAAGACGTCCGGTGGTGGTGTACTGGTTGCAGGGAGAGAAGAGGGGTGACGCACTAGAGTTTTACAACCGTTCGTCCGATCCAAGTTTAACGGATCCTGTGGTTTAACGATTGTATTATAGTGAAATAAAAATAAAAAGCAAACCGACACGCATAAACAACGTATCAGTAAACCTATATAAGATGTATTTAAAAAAATAACGATTTTACTAGCAATTATACTATGGGAGGTTCGTTATATAGGAAAAACGGCAATTATGGGTGCCTATATTGTTACTGGAAAAAGTTCCAAGAAAATGATTTCGTCGTTTTATTATATTTGTGATTTATTTTTTATTGTCCTTACCTTGATGTCTAGATGTGCGACGTTTATAGTGTGCAAGTAGTGCAACCCGTCGAGTATCTGTCGCATGAGTCGGGCCACTTCTGGTTCAGACGGTACTTCGTCCCTATCCAGGACCATTTGTAGCTCACCGCCAGGCGCTCTGAAAAACGAACGGTAAAAATTGTTAACAACAAAGATAATATTATAAATAATATTTTGAGATTTCATCCCGGATATGAAGTTCCAGAAAAAAATATATAAGTAGTCCTAAAACTCACGAGTTAAAATATAATAATATTATGTTCTAACTATTAACTATATTCTTAATGTTCCTTGATATTTTGGAAAAATAAAGTTATCCAAAATATAGTATTATGGTAAATGGTAAACCTATAATTACTGAAAATATCTCACTACAAGCGTTGTACAGGTACCTGCACTACATTAAAATATATCCTATACTAAAACGAATGTATATAATAAGTGGTTTTGTTTGGAATATATTGGGCAAGCTAATTCGTATTTTCACTAGAAACCTCGTAAATAAATAATTTAAACTATTATTCACACACTAAACCATACAATATTATATATAGGTACACCCATTTTTTTCAGATGTAGACCAACCTTTTTAAACTTATTTAAAAAAATATGTATATTACACTCTGTGGGTACGCACACAACGCACATACAATATACAACATATTCAGACAGACAATAAGTGTAATTAAAAAAGTAGACCAATGCGTTTGTTAAAAAAAGTTAGTACGTATTGTATCGTTTGTTTTCTCTAAAATATTTAAAAAAATATTGACAATTAAAACAATAATTTATGTATTATAAAATAATATGTAGGATGTTGGCCATGCGTGTTGTGAATATAAATTTGGAGTTCAAAATTATTTGAAAATTATGTATATTCAACCATCTAATATCAATGAGGTGATATTGCGATCTATTATAATGTAAAGGACAAAAAACAATCGACATTATAAAAGATACAATAATAATGGTGCGAAAAAATTATGTGCCCAGAGATTGAACCAAGACACGTAGAGGTATCACGAATGTAATAAAACTACGAATCACGTAAGTACATATATGCATGAAAATTACACAACGCACATAGTATGTATATCATACCACGACACAATATCCAAAAAAATTTCGGTATTCCGTGGCCGTTAGGGTCCAAACATACAACCGGATATTGCTGTCCGGATTTTTTCATATTCAGAGTTAGATTGTGGTAAACAGACAGTGACGTTTTTCGCCGGCAGGTCAGTTCGCCCAGTTCACCGGCTCCGGCACATTTACCGCCCTTGGAGGAACACGGCCACCGAATAAGAACAAAAATGTCGGTAACAGTTTTGGAACGGTTCTTCCAGAAAAAAAAAAACTAAAATATCAGTTCTGTTTCATCAATATTTAACATTTATAATTTGGTTAGTACCAATTTTAACCAAGCTCAACAAAAGCAAAATAAAAACCAAACGAACAACGGTATTAACATGGACATATATTTATAGTAGGTTTAGCCGTACAGGTACTTTCGAAATATCGGTTCCTGCAGTTACTAATGACAAACAATATAACAAATAACGATAAATATTTTTTCAACATTTCCTGAAATATATTATAAAGTATGAATAATTTATAATACATTATGAAAAACAAACAAGATGTAAAGGCCTCGGAATAACGAAAAATTGTTTGATATTGTCCTGCAGTTTAATAATATATACGTACTATATACAATTTGCACGAATATATTATACGAGTTTTGTATTTTTATTATATCCGTGATAATATATATACGTGTCTGGTTCAATCTCTGGGCGCATAATTAATTGTTCGAACCATTATAATTATTGTAATTCTTTATGGTGGTCTGTTATGATAGATAAATTAAAATTATATTTCTTATCGGTACGAATATTGGTACACGGCGACGAGTATACCATATTCAAGTTTAAACGATTCAAGTTGAATTTTTATTTTTCATTAATATCGTTTATTTAGATTTATATAGATAAATATAGATCTGAAACCTTCATAGAAGGTAGTTTACGTTTAAATTTTGGTCTACAGGAATATGCGTGTTTAAATTCCACACAGAATATTGCCGATTGTATAACGTGTGTACTTACAGTTCTAGTAACAATATCATTTCGGTACTGGTTTCGAACACTTTGTACAGGTTGACGATGCGGCTGTTGTATGTGCACGCTTCCAGCACGGCCACCTCGTGTAGGATTTCGGGTCGCAGGTCGGCGTTTCGCCGACGTTTTCGCAGGAACTTTGCCGCATATTGTTTACCGGTCTGTTTGTCTCGACACCTCCTGACCGTCGCATATTTGCCCCTGAGATACAAAAAATAAAACCAAGAACGTTAGTTTACAGTGCCTATGCATAATTTATTATTTTACATGTGCACATAACACGATATTATACGGTAAATATATTGCAGTGATATGCAACGCTGCGTGAAAAACATAAACTTTACAATGGTCACTGACGTATAATATTTTACGTATAAATTGCACAATTTTAAAGTAGGTAATAGTATATTAGATAGTTAGGTACCGTATGATGCTATAATAACAATGCGAATAACTTTTCTCTAAACTATTAATTAAAAATCCAAAATCCACAAAACGCTGCATACCAATATAAATAAAGATATAGTTTTCGGTAATTGCGCATTTCGTCATCAGTGCGAAACACAGGTGATAACCTGCAGAATTTTGATTATAATAGTACATAATGATGTTATACCTGATACCTACGTAATAGTTATTCTACAATATATACCAAACGTTCACGCCCCAAAGATTATCAGGCGCCGCGACCGGACGTCGATTTCGTCATTATTGCTTATCTTTGAAATAATATAAACCGTAATATAGTATACAGGTATACGATGGCCAGCGATTTGCAAAAGTCACAACGACAACACGTTTCGTACGAGAGGTATATATTATATATTGTAATAGTCGCGACGACAGGAAGTTTTATGCATAATGAAGGGGCCGTGGCCATAATATATAATATTGTAGCACACACACCTTTTTAAAACAATGACGACTGCTGGAGAGAACGCTCGCGAATTTAAATTGGACGTTTCGATTACAAACCTCGGACGCGCCTAGCAGGGTCGCTTGGTATATTATTTGTGCAGCCTACACCTCACAAACGTCTACAATAATATTATGATATCCATTACTAAGAGTCTTACGACGTTCGAAGATTTTCCTATCAGTTCAGACATCCGATTGCGTTTATAATAATATGTACTTATATATAGACCGCTGTTGAGAAGCTATTTTACGACGTTAATTAGGCACACACACTTCTACAGATAAGACGGCGCAATGATTCAAAACGGGAAAACTCGTATTCAAAGAAACGCCACACACGCGCGCTCGAGTCTCTCCGATTTCCTCGGACGTGCGTGTACTAGCGGTTATATATATATATACACTAACTGTTTTGTCTCCATCCTACTCGTCCAGCAGTCTTTCGAAACGTACACACATCTCGTGTAATACGGTGGCAAAGACCATATAATAATAAAAAATCGGAATTTGCGAAATTTCTCGCGACGAGCGCGGCAAAACGGCCGCGACATTGCGACACGTATCGCCGCGCCGATGGCGCCAATCAAGGCCGCTTTACGCACATCCTACTATTATACTTATATATATATGTAGACGCATGTGATACAATAAGTAATTTAATATAATATATAGGAACAGGATATGAGTACGCACGACGACGATAAAAGTTGGCCACTCTGTCACATATACATGCCGCTTTTGGAAAAACGCCAGGCACAAAGTTTACGCCGAAACGTAACGCGTGTAAAATATATTATACACCATTATTGTACCCTGCTCTAGGGTTTAAAAGTTTGTCCCATATAAACTGCTGTAATTTTAAATGTACCATGTTTTTTAAATCTGATAGATTTAACAATGATGTGCAACCCGTAATGGTAGTTAGGTTAGAGGAGGAAGAGTTAACAGTAACTATATAACACACACGTATATCTATCTGCAACGCAGAAATAATATAGGTATGTCACTGTCCACGGTTTAACCCCTTTTCCCGAAAAAATCTTGGATACTACAAGTACTCTGCAGGTTGTACAATCGCCAGAGACTATATCGTTGTGGCATATATATACATCATAATATTAGTATACGTCATAATAAATAATAATATATAATATACATACGAATAACACCGTGATAACCTCCACCGTCTGTCGAGCAGACTTAGTTTGTGTACTATTTCGTTATCACGAATCGTGATTTTTATTTTTTTCGCACGACATTGAAACGGTATATCGACGAACGATTCTCAGGAAAATTCCTATTGCTTATATGTATAGGAGGTACGTGTCATCATAATATATACATACCTATGCAGTGTGGCATATACGAAGACACGTTATATTGTCAGCGATATAAAGTTGAAATATGGACTTTTTCTCACGTCGGAGTATATAGGTAGTAGGTACTAACTACTCGTCGTCGTTTCGTTACGCGTTAACCCCGTTTTACCAGCGGAACGAAATCTTCAATTTATGTATATATATATATATATATTAATGTAATGTATCATTTTGCCTACGACACAAACGCGGCACATGGAAAACGAGCATAATACATTATACATAATATGTGCAGTACGTATACGCGTATATTATAATAATAATATGAAATCACTTATCCATACACTCCGGACACGACGCGCAATGGCCAGCGATATTAAACATAATAATATAGGATCGACGAGATGAGAGGAAATCTCTGCGCGATTTATAACCTCCGCGGTGTCGGTACAAACGCGCTTCGGAGTCGTAAAACGGTCGAATGCGACAAATTTATTTTTCACCTCATCGCGTGTCAAGGTTGAATTTGTTTTTAAGTACACCGCACCATGGCCATCGTATAGACCGCGTGCATCGCCATTATTATATCTATAAAATTATGACATACAGGTAAACGACACTTTATATAGCTGCAAATACAAGTGAAAATGCACACGACAGAAACTAAGAACCTATAACACTTTATGGCCCAGGTTTAGGAAAAAATAAAAATTCTCCTAATTTATCGACTCAGTATAATATGCGTATATTGATGCACCTACACAGGCTATTTTATTTAACTCGCCTAACACATATTCGTTTTCGATTTTATTTTAAAGTATATAATGTACTTTATGTTTGAATAACTGTTATAATATATGTTTTGCGACCGAATGGTATCCCTGCAGTGGTTACTTATTATTATATATATTATACATAATACTCTATACATATATAACAATAGCTGGGCCAAGTGCGTGTAGAAAAAAACGTTTTTGCTCTTTGGTCGAAAGTTGACTTGCATACATAGGTTTCGACTTTCTATTCAACCCGCGAGCATATATTATTATATACATTATTATGTTATAAACACCTCGAAGAACCGAACCGACCGTGTCGCAGATTGATATCGCCCCCTATTATAAGACAATAAAATAATATATGTTAACGTGTAATGTGTATATTATATATATATATATATATATATATGTTATTAGGCAGAAATGTAGAATTGACGGCGGGCGTATATATTATAGGTACATATTATAGGCACTGCAGTTATTCAAACAACAAGTATCATTGCCGAGAAAATATTATAATTACCATATACCTTTATATACATACAGTATATACACTCACAAATCAAAAGTGTTTTTTTAACACTGTATATGTTATTATAAAAGGTATGCGATGGAAACAATCGCTAACGAAAATGCGTCTCGGTTGCATATGAACTCACATATTATATATATATATATATATTACCTACAGCATAATAACTGCGTCCGTGCGCCTCGATGAAGATCGACTGCACAAAACATATTTATGATGACCGAATAATAATAATAACATGTACCTGCCAAACTTCTATAGAACACACATAATATTATATACGCGTACGTATATATTATATAGAAAACGGTTTATTGTGCAACGTTACATTGTCGCCGGATTTTCAACAGCACATATACACTTTCACTGGTTCATAACGCTATGTTGATAACAATATATACAAATGTGTGTTGATTATCATCACGTATATACATATATATAGATACACAAAAAGTTTAGGTGAGATATAATATAATGTGTGGAGTGTGTACCTCATAATAATAGTATAAGTTATTTTAATAGCAAAGTCGAAATTGTTTATGGGTTCACATACTGTACAAACACAGACGTTTGTGACTGAAAAAAAAGTAATTTCAACGCAATTGTCAACGCGACATGTTTTAACGACTCTGCCCGACTAAAATATTTTCTACTTAAAATCGTATTATTAATATATTTCGTTTGGAAAATAATGAAAAAAATCAACCATTTCATCCAAGACGCACCGCTAGAAGAAATGATGCAGTTAATTATGACGACCAATGGGCGTATAAACACAGCGTTAAGCTGTATAATATATTATGAAAAGTAATTTTTGAATACATACTATTTATTAGAATGTAACGGGCATGATCATAATGCGTGTAGGTATAGGTACGGTTTACGTAATCGGTACGATTCATGATTAAATTTTTTAACAATATACAATCATGATTGGTTTTATGCGTATCCCTGCATGGTATACATATATTTTTCATAATGAATTATGCAGAAAACGAAGACATGATATTATAAACTAAGAAAAAAAATATTTTGACGTGTTAAAACTATTGTGTAAGTACATAATATATTTTATAATAATATACAGCGTCCTAACAAATCATCGAACTAACTGCAGACGACTTAATCGATCGTTCCCATCGCCACACTACGTCACCCCTGTCTACTGTAAAAATATAACCGGGTTAACTACAATCGAAAACTTTGACGGACAAGTTACAGCTCGCGCATGTCCGCCTGTGCGACGCGGAATTAGGTCTCGTCCGTATGGTCTTTTATCGCGACGTGTATACTTTCTAGACGAGAATGTCTCGACGCGACCGATAACGAATAGAGAACGACATGACGTATGCCTGCGATCGATACATAGGTATTATAATATTTTACTTAAACTTGATAAAAACAACAGGCGAAAGACAGTTTGGGCAATCGAAAGCTATTACCCGCGGCCCCATCAGAGCTGGAGAGAGCTGAAGGATCTTCGACATCTAACCGGCGGTTATTTACGAGTGTACATCATTGGAAAGCCCGATTTAAAAGTTGGAAAAATATACCAAATTATAGTTCGTATTTTTTTAAAGTAATACTTACTGCAGACAACGTTTTTGAATATTATAATTTAGGTACAATATTTTATCAACCAAATATAAGTAAAATATTTTAAATGCATATAGGTATCTTAAAATAAGTTCTTACACTTCATGTTTATACTTTAAGTAACATTTTATAATATCTTACTTTAAATGCAATGATGGTAACGCGATGATTTATGTAACTATATCTGTATAGAGATTAGAGATCTAGTATAATTCAGTCTTGATATAGCATTATATTATAGCTCATACAGATAGCATATTATAGTTCTCACATGTAATATTTTTATCGTCCGGGAAGACTTTTGTTTTTGCGCGGCCTGTTTTCGGATATCCTATATACATCATAATATCACGGTTGTATCGTCTACGGTAATACCTACATATGATGGCTCACAGACCGCGAGTTCGTGACGATAATCGTTAAAAAACGACCTTCCCCGGCCTCGCGTACTATGTACTATATAATATATATATGTATAGGTATATATATATATATATATATATATCTATAATATATTATTGTCATTGCTACTGCAGTGACCCTCCTTTTCCACAGTCTTGTACAGCAAACAGGAATACGCGCGACGGCAAAACGGTATATGTTAGCGCGCGTCCCGCATACGCAACTAGGCGATGAGGTCATTCAGCGTTTAGGTCCGTCCGAGAGGGAAAGAAAACGATTTATTATTATTATTATTATTATTATCATAATAATATATTATATACACACACGGCAGTTGACCGCGTTTTGTCGGGTAAATTGAGTCGTCTGACGACGACGGTCACGTGGTGTTTTACGCGCACTACTATTCATAATACTGCTACTATATATAATATTATCGGCATTGTCCTTGCCCGGACGCTGAAAACTTATTTGTGTTCTATTTTTCTTCACTCAAATTGTAGCACTGATGGTAAATGGTAATACAATAATTCTATTATTAAACGCGACCGCCGACGACAATCATTCGGTCCGATTGTGCAAACACACCGACGTCGTTGTAGTACATTAATTCGTTTCTGACTTTTGTAGTTATTATTATTTTAATCGCGACCGCCCACTCCTACGCGACAGGAAATAAGGCGGGGTGCAGGTTGTCACAGGGGCGCGAGTTGGAAGTAGTTGTTGGAGTCCGGGGACTTAAACGCACTCGACCGCAGCGGATTAGTGGAAAAAAACAATAACACGGGGTAAATTTGCAGATCTTGAACTATACGTTATAACTTGTAGAGTGAGTACGGGGACTCAATTTACGTGCTAAATATTATATTACATCGAAGTCACACTCAAAGTCCAGCGATTATGTTAAATCTTCTACAGTGATTTTAGGTAATTAATAATTGAATTAAAGCTTTAGGTACCTATATTATATTATATTATATATTGTAGACTGCGTTGATATTATATAAATATATATGTGCCAATTTTAAACATTGAAAAGCTATTTATTAAAATACTGCTATATAAAAATACGTTATTTAAGCAACAAGCCCATAAATTGAGGTACTGATAGAATGTATTAAATAATATACGTTCAAATTCGGTAAGTTATTTGCATGGATTTGAAATTTTGAAATTGCGTTTTTAATTAGGGTCAGATAGGTACATTAATTAATATATAATAAATAGTAGACAAAAATACGCA